AAAAAAAAAAAAAAAAAAAAAACTTTTGCTCCAAGGTCACATCGAAATTCTTTACCAAATTGAAAATAAAAAATTAAAAAGAAACAGAGACCTGCCACCGGAAATCACAGCAGAGTGCTTCCCAGCCATCAGATCACAGATGATCTGATGGTGGTGGTTGCAACAACAGTGAACAAAGTAACTATCACATTTTCTGGAATAAACTCAACTTCTGTCAGCAGTGATCCTGACAGCCTCCATATACTCCGTGATTGAAGGAGGGCTCCACCCAATGAGATAATTGCACAACAGCAAGTAAAATACTGAAAATCTTCTATCCAGTGGGCCTATGGGCACTCCTCGGGCCGTCCGAGGACGATTCCTTGGAGTTGCCCGAGGAAATTCCCGCCTTCGTTCCACTCGTCCTCGGAGTCGTCCCCCGAGGACGATTCCTCGGGGCTCCCGCGGCCAGATTTATATATCCACAAGCGGACGCGGGGGGGCGGGTGAGGGTGGTCCGGCGAGTTGTGTCCGTGGGGACAGCGTTGGTCCACTTCTGTTGGCCGTCGTGAATTCGAATCACGGCGGGAAACCAAAAAAAAAAAAAAGAATACAAGAAAGGGGCCATTGGAAATGGAGCGCACGGCCACAGTTCAAAATTCGAAATTCGAAATCTTGCTCTGCGATTGGCGGCGCGTGATGGACGTACGTTTCACACCCGATTGCATCAGCGTCTGGCGTTCGGGGCGTTCGCATAAGTGACGATGGTGGCCGGCGGTTGTTGTCGAAGAGTACGCAGGTCTACGCTTGCACAAAACCGGAGACGGTATCAACTTCTCACCATCGTCGTCGGCACATGACCGTCGTCAGTGCGTGGCGTCCAAGGTTGTCTGCAGAGGCAGCGCTGTGTTCTTCCACGTGGCGGCGTTTGTGCAGTCGTGTGTAGTTATTGATGTGATGTCCTTGGAAGCGACGTAGGGGATGGATATTGACGGCGAGGTCGGGCGTGGCGGTCTGACGACGTCAGAGAGGACGGCTGTCGCTGCGGCGGTGAATGTCATCCTGTTCCGTTGTCAAATGGCGAGCAGCGAGGGGAAGTTCAAAGCGGCCGTTCGTGCACGCCGCAAGTTGTAGGCACTGCCGACGAGTGGCCAGTGCTTGGACGTCGGTGCCATTTCCGACGCGGTGCTGCAGGTCTGCTACGCGATGGGGTGCGGCGCGTTTCCACGGGCGACTCCAAGGTGGTGGATGAAGCGGCGGACGGGAGGTACGTGGGAGGATCTGCGGCAATGTGATGACGCGACATATGACTACTTCAAGGACAAGCTTCAAATGTCGCCGCGTGTTTTCCGCGAGATCGTGGAGACTCTTTCCCCACTCCTGCAACGCCGTGTGACGTTCTACAGGGTGCCCTTGCAGCCAGACCACATCATCGCCTACGCTCTGTATAGGTGGGCGAAAGGGGAGACATACGACAACAGGACGTGTAGCTTCGACATTGGCAGGTCTTCCGGCATCACGAGGGTGCGGGACATCACTGCGGCATTGCTTACCGCGTACCCCGATAAGATATCATGGCCCACAGGTTCGTAGAAGGCGGTCGTTTTGCGTGCGTTCGCAGACAAGGGTTTTCCAAACTGCCATGGGTGCATCGACTGCACCCACATCTACATTGACAAGCCCGCCAACGCCAACGGGGAAGACTACTGCGACAGGAAACGTCGATTCTCCGTGCAGGCGCACGTGGTCGTCGACATGAACTTGCGTGTGTTGGACGTCTTCGTCGGTTACTAGTACCCGGGCAGTGTGCATGACATGAGGATGGTGAACGTGTCCAGTTTGTGGGCACGTGCGAAGGAAGGACAACTTTTCACAGGGCCGCTTGTGATGCTGCCTTTCGGTGTGCGGACTAATGGCTACTTGCTCGACGATAACGGTTATCCCCGGTCGGAATGGATAGTCGTCCCTTACGGTGGTCTCGCGCAGCACCCGTCGGAGGCACGGTTCGACAACAAACAGAAGACGACCAGGGGAGTAGTGAAGAGGGCGTTTGGCAGACTGAAGGGGATGTGGAGGTTGTTCCTCCGCACCCACAAGTGCAACATGGAGACTTTGTCGCAACAATTTGTTACAGTCTGCATCCTCCACAACATACTCATCAACGCAGGTGTCCCGTTTGACGACAATCTGTTGTGGGAGGTGGGTCCGGATGGCGTGGGTCGTAGAGTCGATCTTGGGATGCATCAGCCACTCAGGCCGGTGTGCATGGAGTCATCAACGGCGGATGCACTGATATTGAGGGACGCGCTGGCGGAGCGGATGAATGCGCAGTGAGGATGGTCGTGCGTGCAGGTGGAGACCCCGTTGTGACCGTAGTGAGGCGGAAGAACGGAGCTCTTTGAAGCGGAAAAGCATCAAAGGGATCCTGCGGCGGGAAGGAAGGGGAGGCCCGCTTCCCACATCAACTGCCGATTCCGTGTCTTCAGGATGATGATGCCCTCAAGTCTGCTGTCGTCGGGATGTGCTGGGTTATTGTCGTCAGGCGCGGTGTGCATCATCCCGGTGTAATCCACATCGCCGTCCGTTAGGGGATGATCTTCCGTTTTGTGGCGCAGTAGTCGACCCGTGGTAGCGTCGTTCTGGCGAGAAGTGCATGATGGGTCTCCCGCGGGCAGTGCGTGTAGGTGTCTTCGTGTGTGTGGTGACTAGTTTTGTTTTTCGTGGCTCATTTTTTTTTATTTTTTTTTCACTTGTTCTATATCGAGCAGTGGGTGCGGTTACACGCAGTGTTGGGTGCGGTATTTTAATCGTTGGTTGTGGATGTCGTCGTTGGCGGAGTCCGCGTGGCGCGGTTGGACGTGCCATTCGGCGAGATACTG